CTGTTCTCTATGTTTTCCGTGTGCTGTGGGTGAGTTGTGTGTGGTTGGCTGCCGCGCGGGGGGTTGTGGAATACCGCGTATGTCACGCACGTCCGCGTTCCCCCGATCACCGCGTATTCTCTCGTCGATAATGACACGCTCGGCAAGCAACGCGGTCCCGCCGACCGGCACGACCGGCGTCCGCGAGCCGTGAGAATTATCGACTAGCGAGCTTCCGTCGACGCGCCGAATCTCCCCTCCCCGTTTCAACCCCTTTCACTTTCGACCGTTTCGGCGCTGGCCGGCTTCGCGCCGCTTTTCGACGCGACGGATCGCCGGTTTATCGGGGAAACGAGACAACAAACTGATCACTGACTATACGGAAAGTTCCCGAATTCCGGGGATTCCGGTGAATAATCTTCGCTTCGATTCCGTTCGATTCTCGAGTGAACGTTGTCGACCCGTGGATCGTCACGTGCAAGTTTTCGGACTCGCCCGGGGATCCCGGTGGCGCGCACGTGCGCGCTCGCGTGCGTCGATTCGCAACAGTGGAGAGTAAAGGGGAGGAAGGACGCGAGGGAAAAAGTGCGCGAAATCTGTTCCCGTATGATGGTCGCGATCCTAGCGGCCATCGATCGTCCGCGCTTGGACATTTGAGTGGGACACCGGAGGGGGATAAAGGAGGAACAGAAGGAGAGAGGGATAAAATAGGTAGTTTAGCGTGTTGGTCGACTGGTCTGGTGAATGAGACGGGCAAAAACGAGGCGCGATAGTGCTGATCGTACGTGCGATGCGTACCGTGGAGGAGACGGCCACGGAAGCAGCCGCGGCTGACGCCGCGACCACCCACCAGCGTGCTACCACCGGCAGGCATCTGCTCGTCGATCAGAATCACGAGCACGATCACGATCAACGAGATCGATCGGGGACGATCCATCTGGCCGGTACACCGTACCACCAGGTCACCATCGCGGCGGACACCAACAACAATCATGACCATCATCGGAACCTCGAGCATCACGCGGCGCAACGCCACGATCATTGGAACAAGTGTAAGTTGACGATTTACAGCAACAACAACAAAACAAAACAGACAGACCGAACAGATAAAAAAATAAAAAGACATGTATAAACGAGCGAATAGACGAAGCGGCGAACGAGAAATCGAAAGACCGTCCTGTTGTTAATAGTTGTCGCAGAAGTTGCCGGTGCACGGAGGATGATCGCACATGCTCGCTGCTGATGGCTGGCGGGTCGCGGTTCATAAAACGTATTGTATGGTGGTGGTTGGTGGTGATGGTGGTGGTGACGGTCCGATCGACGCTGGTTAAATGACGGAGATGGATCGATCCCGGTGCCTGCCTTCCCGGCGTCGTCAAGCCTTGGACATCCTCGCGCAAACATTAACGATGGTTCGACGATGACGTTTAACGTTTGACGATCCGCCGGGCTGTGCGACGGGGTTTTTAATTAGTGGACTGCCATGTTTGTATGCAGCTCAAACGGTTGTTTGACGAAATGTTTAATAAGCACGAGTGAAGTGTTACTTTACTCGAATAACGAGTCTCTTAATGATTTAACCCTTTGCACTCGGTAGTTTATCGCTAGAAATATTTAACATTGTTTGACGGGACAGAGACGATATTCTTTGTAACTAACTCGAAGGGAAATTATTCCAATGTTTCACGTATCGAGGCATTATACAAAGCTAAACATTAAATAGATTTTATAGTTTCAATGCGTCAGATCAAGCGGTGACTAAAAGTCACCTCCCGAGTGCAAAGGGTTAAATAAGCCTCTTAGATGCATATAAGAAAATCTGCAGTTTCATAAACATTCTCAGTCCACTGATTAAGTAACCATCGGTGACTTACATTCTTAGAGTCGATTCAGCTAAATTTTCGAAGATCTTTGCATCGAAGTTCAACGAAAGCACAGCTTGCCTGAATGAAGTTAACCAAGAAAAGCATTCAAGATAAGTTCAGTCAGATAGAGACGCATTTCGACCGAACTCCAGACGTTTCTTTCACTTCTCGACGACGCAACAGAGCCGTCCCATCACGACTGTTGTTATTAAACAAATCCCAGCGCCGCGGCAACAAAGTCGCCTCAATTTGTCCGTCACTGTCCGATCGCAGATAATCGCGGAGACCTTTTAATCCACGAGCGGGCCGAAGTCGGGAAGACAATGGCGTGCGGAGCGGAGTCGCGTGCGTTCCCGCTGGAAAACGAAAAAGGTTAATGGGCATGGCATTAAAGAGGAAAGCGCGAGCGAAAAGGAGATGAGGTGCGAACGATAGAGCGAAGGGACGATTTCTGCCCCACTCCTCCCGTTCTTCCTCGGCCAATCGATTCGAGCCGCGAAAACGATCTAAAGGTTGCGGCTCCCCGATTGGCTGCGAATCCTCTTTGACTTATAACGCTCGCGCACGGTTTCACCGAAATGAAAAAAATGAAAAATCACCGCTCGATACGCTCGCGGTCGCATCCGTCGTGCGAGCCGCGATTCGTTACGCTTCACCCTGCGTGTCGCCGCCGTCATTATCGCCGTCTCGATCGCGAAAAATAATTCATCGGCTGTTGTCGCACACTGGCTGATCGAGACATCGGTGCCTGTCAATTATTCATTCGCGTCTGTATCTTCGGACCCAGCGACAGAGTCCATATTTGAGTGCCGTTTCGTCGCTCAGGGGTGGCTACCCTCCGCCACCCTCTCCCGACGCTGCAGCCGTTGTCGGTCATAACATCCATGACATTTTAAGACGGACAGCTTTACACCGGTATTTTCCGCGAACGGAATAACATCGAGATCTACGAACTTCTAATTTTTACTCGTTTTTAGGAGGTGCGGTTAGAGATTAATTCTGCCAGTTTCGGGGAGAAGGTACGGGAGGGTGAGACATCGGGAGGTTCTGAAAGAAAATAAGCGCGGTGATAACTTTTTGATATTTTTAAATATTCAACGACCATCCAGGGAACAGAACGTACAAACCAGACGTTCCATGGTTACTTCTTCAAGACTTAAACAGCTCCGCACTAAAAATACGGCTTTCGCAGGGGCGGGAATACAGTTTTAATCAGTTTATCGCGTGTAAATTCGAAGCGATTCGCGATACTCAGTCCTTGAATACTCACTTTTTGAAGAAAATTTAAAAACCTCGTCAGATTTAGGAATCCCCGTAATCCACTGGATGTCTCGAATATACCATCTTGTGACACTCAAAATTTTCATGTTGAATCTGGTGTATTTCCCTCGTGGTAAAATCGAAATTCAAAAATCGAAATCGCTTCGGCGGTTCGATCGGATATAGCTGTTCGACAGGACGGATTTACAGGTGTAATCGGCACGTTAAGGTAAATATAGTCTGGCAGTGGGCCGAGTGCACGGCAGGCTGGCCGGCGAGTGCAGGCAGGCAGTCAGTCAGGCAGTCAGGCAGGCCGTTTCTTTTCCGCGTGCATAGTTGGCCCGCGCTAGACCTGCTCGCGCAGGAAAGAAGAGACCACGAGAGGACGAACAAATTTAACCCTTTGCACTGCGAACCTTTTTTTACTTTAAACGTTTCACTCGCAATTTGTTCCGAAGGACAGTTAACACTAGAACTACCAGTCAAAATGACTGGTTTCCGTTTTTCTGTTTCGCAATTATTGATATCTCCGAAGCATTGAATATTCGAAATGATTTTGAAAATAGTTTCACTTGAATGATATAATGAACGTCTGAGGAAACCGAAAATAATCTATTACTACAATATTCATAGCGATTATATTTCAATCGTATGAAATGCTCGGTAGTTCTAGTGTTAACACACTGACGCTCACTTTGAAATCGATGATGGACGACGAAAGAATTTTTTGTTGCTTATTACATAGCTGATTCACTCTCAGAATAAACTATATTTTATCATTTATAATACCAACACATGCACGAGCATTCGACAGTTATACACGACATCTTCGTCAACGTGTTAATAGATAGGAAGTAATTGAAATAACTGCAATTTCCGAGTTCCAAGCGTTCGACACGAACGAATGAAATTTGAACCCTGCATTCTAAGTGTATCACATGATATTACATCATATGTAATTATTTCTAAAGATTTGTCAGCACGGAAGATTGCGATTGTAGCAAAAAAACTAGAACAGAATATTCCCCAGAAGGAATCAATCTTTTTCACTTGATGAAGTGTATCTGTGATTACTCAATCACAGCGAGCGAATGTACAAATGGTTGGGATAAGTGGAGACGGTTAAATCCCCGATGCAAGTCATCCGCGGTTTTCTCCCATGGTTCTCCGATCCCTCGGAATCACGACGATCTCGTGCACCGGTTGCGAAAATCGATTGTCAGGTTCGCGAGAGTAACGGCCGTGACAATGGTAAATCAGCCGCTTATGACTTCCGCGCGTTGAAACTGGCCGGGGCCCGGCGTGTCGCTCGCCGGGCCCCGTTACCCGGCCGTTTCGCTATCGATAGTCGATCGGCTGTCAGTCTGACCGTTACGTGGGCACGTGATTGCGATATACGCCAGTTTCGGGCGATACGGAAAAACTCGGGAACGCGGCCGACAAGCACGGGGCACGGGGAGCTGATAAACATATCGCCGGTGAAATCTAAACGGTCTTGTGTTCACATCATACCCGGCCACTCTGCGAATGTCCGCCATTTTTCCTGGTAAATTGGTAGTACTTACAGGCGTCGAGTTCATTGCGGGAACGGAACGTTTCCAGCCGAATAATAAAAACACTTTTTATTTGACAGCGGACTTTATCGGCAGTTCGATATTGTAGATTCCTGTGATCCTGTTGATCAACGCTCGTTCGTTAGACAATTTCGACGTAATCAGCGGAACCCGCCGAC